GAATGTGTTCTTTTTGCTTTTTGCTGCGCTGTATAGAAACTATATCCGAAAAAAATATGAAGATAATTAGGAATTATTACAATTATTTGGCAGTTTATGATTAGCAAAATGTCGAACTTCTTACAGTTTTTCTAATAAGAAATTTGTTCAAGAGAAGAAAAAAATTAACGTTTAAATATATAACCAGTCAGAAAGAAATTTACTTGTGGACACTGGTGGCCTTCATACAAATTATGGACGGAGTATAGGTCTTGTAACCTTCAATGTGGTGAACAACTTCATGATTTTTTATAATTGAGATGCACTTTGAGATTTTTTAAGTTTACTGAATAAATTGAAAACTAAGTTCTTTTAAGTGAAATGGGGTGAGAAAAAAGAAGTGGTAGCAATATATAGGACCTTCATGCCCTCAAAAAGAACCATTTATACTTCAAAAAGCTCCCAGGCCCTTTTCCCGAGACTTATCTCTAAGGTCCCTTTCGGGTTTCTAGAGCTCCTATTCCGGTGATATTTGATCACCGGAATCGTCCTCTGGCCCTTTTTTTAGCAATTCTCTCTTTCTTTTCAGATATGGATGACGATGTCATCTATTTCACGGTAGGATTCATATAGTACAACATCATAAGGAAGGTCTCAAGAGCTGAAACTTGGTATGAATGGGTGGAAAGAGGACGCAATATGATGACAAGAGCGAGAGCTTCAGCCAGAAGACGATGGAGTGGATAGGCCATGTCCTCAGAAATCTGTGGCCAAAATTTATAAATGATTGTAAAATGAAGGTAGGAGATGGAGGGAATGCTAGGTGGGACAGGGACCTGTTAAAGTCAGTTTTTCTCACCTGTTCAGCTTGAGCCTTTAGAAAGTGGCCACTGTCAAAGAGATTAGAGATAACCAGGGATGGAACTTCAGATTCAGTTAAATGATTGGGAGGGGAGCAGAATGGTTAGATTTCTAAACACCCTGGAGCAATGCAAGGGCCTCAACACCAAGTGAGGATAAACTAAATTGAATTCCAGACAAACAGGGGAGATTCTCAATGGGGTCAGCTTACAGAAACTCTCAGAGGTCACACACTCAACAGGTCATGGAAGATGATAAGAAAAGTTAAGGTGCCCTTCAAGGTGACCTGTTTTACCTGACTTTTCGCCAAACAGGCTGCTCTTTCTCAGGATAACCTTATAAAAAGAGGTTTTCAATTGTGTTCTGGATGTTCTTTTTGTGAATATGAGGCAGAGACAATAAATCATCTCTTTCTACACTGTAGAGAGACTGTGAAACTAGACTGTGAAACTGTGGCAAATTTTCATCAACCTAAGGGGCATCAGACTATGCCAAGGAATATAAAAAGGAAGCTTTAGCTTGTTGAAATAGGGATTGAAATCAGTCAGGGTGCAAAGAGAGATGGAAGATTATCCCAGCTTGCATATGGTGGACTATTTGGTTGCAAAGGAACCAGAGATACTTTGAAAACAAGAGCTTGCGCTATGCAGAAAATAAAGATGAAATGTCTGGGCCTTGTCAATTTTTGGTGTAAGCATGAGTATCCTCAAGAAGAAGAGGATAGTCCTAGCATTTTAGATTACTTATGAGTTCATACGAGGATATTTACACTTCTGTGATTTTTTATTGCATGTATTACTGAAATACTTCTTGAGTATTCCTTTGTTTATATTACAAGTGACCTTTTCTCAAATAAAGAAGAGGTAAAAATGTGGTGCAAAGCAAGTTGTATTGGTTTTTTGCAACCTTGGACACCAAGTTGAAGTTCTTATTTGTCCAAGAATAGGTGTGTGGACTTGCTTTCAAGTCCAAGAAGCCCATGTCTGAAGTTTCAATGGTTCAAGAAGCCCAAGTTTCCCAAATAAGGACTTACTATTTCTATTCTTGTTTCCTTCCATACTAAGTTCGTAGTTTCATTTATAGTTTCCTTTCAAAATAGGTATTCTACTTTCCTTGTACTTAGCTATTTCCTGACAAATTACCTTCCCCGGAAAAAGACATTAGAATAGGACTTCTAGTTATCAAATAAGAGATCCTAAGCTCTAAAGTGGTTGCACGCCCCCATGTCAGTATAGTTACATGTTTCTGAGTAGCTGCTGAATGCAATTTGAGCTTTAATTGCTATCTTTCTTCTTTATCCTTGTCTTTATTCCAAGTATGGTCGTTGTAGTTTTTATTTTGTTTTCATTGTGTGTGGTGCATCTTTATCACACTAATTGCTTACAAGTGGTTGCTTTAGAACTTCTAAACATTTGATCATTCAAGAACACCTAACCCTTAACTGTAATCTCATCCATCTGTGTCATCCAGAACCAAAACTTATTGTCGCTCTTTTGTAGTCATTTCTTGTTTCAAACAAGTGAGTAGTTATTCTAAATTATCATCAGTCATTTTGTTTTTAAATCAATTGATTCCAAGTTATACAGCCCAAATAACTTTGATTCTTGAAATCAAACAATTCAGCTCTTGTTGATGGGTTCTTTCTGAACTTGAGAATCATGTCAATGTGTCTATTCCGCTGATTGCTATGGTAAAATAAAGGACAGAAGAAAGTATATCTCTTTTAGGCTTGGCAAAAATGTAAATATTAACCTGGTTTATAATCCTTCTGATAGTTTGCTACTTTGCTTGGACATGGGTTTGGAGCCTTGGAAGATTCTGGGTTATCGTTCCTTCCCCTTTTCTACGAGTCGGTGAATCCAGTTTCGGAAATATTGTTACTACTAACCTGGTTATTATCCATCGAATGGTTTGCTTGGAAATGGGTTGGAGGATTTTGGGTCACTGTTCCTCCGCTTTCTATATTCTTCTACAACTCGATGTTTTTAGTTTGGAAGAATTCAAACTCTTGGACTCAGGGATCTGATTGATTCCCTTAAAGATCTCGTAATTTACCTTTTCTAATTGTTGTTGCTTAGTCCAATGTAATTGGTTGTACCCTTCTTGGGTTTCTTGAAAGTGGTAACAGAGAATATTAATATCAGCACAGAGGCTGTGCTACAGCCATATTTACAGTTCAGAAAACTGCACAGGGTCTCCCTGTATTATCTTACTAGGAATCAATCATGTCCAGTTACGATTCTGCATCATCTACAAAGTTTTATTTACACCAGAAATGAAACAAAATTTCATCTTGATTTTCTGGTTAGAGCTATATCTGTCTTCCAAGACATCTTGCATTTCTCTCTCTCCAAATTACTCACCATATGCATGCAGGTAATTTTTTTCCCACCATTTCTTTTGCCTCAGAGAGCCACCATTGTAATTCAGCACTTCAGCAGGTCCCAAGTAGCCTTAGGCATAGTGCACCTGAGTCCTACTATGTTTAGGAACAGCTGCAATAGCTGATCTGTTATTGGGTAATGTTAGAAGAGGTGGCTAATGCCTTTTGAGTCAGCACCACATAAAAAACATCTGGAACATAACTAGATCTCCTCATCCTGCTTGCTGAGACTTGTTCTTTTTTCTTTCTAGGACCCGTGTAGACAGTCACATTAAATAGTAGTTTTGGTTTATGTAATAGTGGGAAGAGTGAGAATCTTGGTTTATGGACGTATGCCATCCAGATGTAGAATGACCTCTTTCTTTGCCTGAATAGCGGTACATTGCTGATGAATCCAGACTCCAGTCATTATCATCTTACTCGTCCTAGCAAGGAGTGACTTCCCCACGCCCCAATTTTATTTTTATTTTTTAAAGACGCTGTATAGAATTCTATCTTCTTGTGCATTTCAGAGTAATGAGTGTTCTCTTTCTGCTGTTCCTTTTCAGTGATCATGTTTTTGATTTCATGGACATTCACTGTGGTATCACTAGCCCTAGCAAGTCTAATCTATTATTATGTGAGTATCAAGGGGAAAGCAGGAGACTGGGGTGATGGTTTCAAGAGTGCATATTTTCAGCTTGCTCTTCGTAGTTTACGATCTTTGGGAGGTATGTGTTTTTCTATTTATATATCTATTTATTCATTTAAATTTCTTGTCAAACAACATAAAACATCTTTTGTACTGTCCATTCCTTGTTGTCTTAAAACATCTGATTGCTCCTTGCATGTGTATTCTATAATTGCTTAAAGGTTGAGTGAAACAAACACAATTTAGGATTGCCATTGCAGGTCCTCACTTTTTTCAATTATGTTGTTTACCTAGGATTTGTCTATGTGCAAAAATATATATCTGTATATTTTTTGGATCTTATGTTGCTTTTGATTCGGTTATTACAATTGAAGAAGGTGTTTTTCATTATAGTTAATTTGTTTGTTACCCCATTAACGTTGCTTAATGTTCGGCAACACTTTTTGGTGTACCAGTGCCTTGCTTAGGCATTTTTATTCTGAAAATGTGCATCAGATGGTTGACTGCCATACTATTTCAGAAAGATTGGATCCTTATATTGCTTCAATTCTCGCCGACGTTTGTTGCTCTTACCCACTTCTTTTTTTCCAAATCTGAATGGTGTTTGGATACTTCTTCTGCTTTTGTCTAACATTGTGGCAAGTGATTGGATGCAAGTCTAGGCAAGTGCATTTGAATCATATCTTAAATCCTCCCATGTAGTTGAGATTATAATCTAGATTAAATTTGGGTCTTGATTCCCCGGTCTTGAACCATGCAAATTTTATACCTTTTAAAGGAAGATGAACACCGAGAACTTCTGCATTGCTCTTGGTATAAGCTGCATCCTCTTTGAACCATGTATGCCTATACCTTATAAAGGAAGATGAACACCGAGAACTTCTGCATTGTTCTTGGTATAAGTTGCATCCTGTTATCCTCTCCCTCAGGAACCTTACTGTATCAAAATTATCTCTTATTGTATTATAAATCTCTCGAACTTTTTAGAACTATCTTTGACCCTTTCAATTAGCACATATGCTCTTCAAAATCTCACCCATATGTTGCTTCTTGTACTCCTTAATCCTGATGTAATGGAGTTGGCTCCTCTTTTGAACTCCACAATATCCATCTTTCGCTTATCCTACAATAAGATAATCACCTGCAGTCCTTTCGGGGACATCCGATAAAATTAGAACAATACGGAGAAGATTAGCATGGCCCTTGCACAAGAATAATGCAGAAGCAAAAATAAAAAGATTAAAACAGGAAATTAAAGATAGGAGAAATTCGAGAAATCAATCCCCAAATCTCAAAAAGTAATTACTAAGAAGCCTAATTGGTTATGGTCGACCTGATTAGTGGATTAGGGCTAATCATGTTTACTAGCATATTCAATTCAAGTACTTGGATGAAAGTGATCTAGACCCCTAATTGAGTAATTAAAGACAATAATTAGTATAAGACTAATTACTTTTTTCAATTAGTTGAGTAAGAACCATAGATATCAAGCAAAGAATTAACTTACCTCTTAGAAGAATTGTTTTGTAAGATAAATTATAAGCTACCAATACACAAAGGTGTAAATTAAAGAAATCTCAATAAAATTGATACTCCCTTCTTTTCAAAAAGAATGGTCAAGTTTGACTTGGCACGGAGTTTAAGAAAATAAAGAAGAGTTTCAATCTTGTGGTCCTAAATTAAAGTTATGTCAAATGTACCAAATGCTCTTTAATCTTGTGGCCTTAAACATGTCACATGAAAAACTGAGATTAAAGTGTTGTCAACAAAAAGAAAGAAATGGGCCATTTATTTTGAAACAAGACTAAAAAGAAAAGGTCATTCTTTTTTAAACGGAGGGAGATAATAATGTGTCCAAAAGTTAAAATAAGTATTTTGGACGGCAAAGGGCGACAAGGGTCTGCCTCACTTGGGACCTTGACGACAATCTTATAGCTTTATTTTTGTCCATGGGGCTATCAATATGTATGCTAGTATCAATATTTACAATTGTAAAAGGCTTGTATTACAAGGCTTCAAAAAACTCAAAAATTGTTTCTGCACCCTTTACATAATTTTCTTTACACCAGAATATGAAAGAGAAAAAACACTTCATTTTGATTCTGTATGTAGTGTCTTCAAAATATTTGACATTTCTTTCTGTACAATCCGCCAAATGCAAGCTAGGACAACATTCCACCACTTTTTCTATCTGATATTCTTGCGGCATTGTTCCAACACAACAAAATGTCCTTTGTATCTTTAGACATTACCCATTTGACCCTAACAAAGACAACAACAATTGCTAAAAGGATATCAGTAACCTTATAATACAAGATTAAATAACGCTTGTTTCTTGGCCTCCTTCCAACCTAAGCTACTCAGACTCGGGTGTGGGTGTCCAATACGGGTACGGACCTAGAGGTCAGATCCTCTATGATCTAAATTTTAAGATTTGGGGATATGGATCTATGTATGGATACAAGTGCAGGGATTTGACTAAAGAAAATTCAGATATCTAAAGATTAGTTTTTGGATGGCGAGAGGCGATAAAAGGCGACAAGGGTCTGCCTCGCCTTGTGGCGAGGTGAGTGTCGAGGCGCTCGCCTTTTTGAAGTGCGGCACCAATTAATACCAAAAATTAAAATATTTAATTGCATATGTAAATAAGTAAAATCTCAATAGCAATAGCATATTAGCAAATATTTCAATTCAAAAACTGAAAATAGATAGTACATACTAAGTCTAGAACTTGAATGAGAAAAAAACATAACAAAAGTCAAAACAAAGGTAGAAGTGACTATGGAGTCCGAAGAAGAAGGAAAAAGAAGCAGAGGAAGAAGAAAGAAATCTGATAAAGAAAAGAATAAATATGCATTGGTTGGACTTTGAAGTCGACGAAAAAGTTTGGCTGGTCATCGGAGGAGTCTAGTCGAAAACACTAAAATTATCCTTTATCTTTTAAAACCCTAAATCGGTAGCCTTTTTTAAGAAAATACAAAAGGCGACGCCTTTCTCGCCTCTCACCTTTTGTTGCCTTTTGAAGATCGCCTCGCCTCGTTTCTGCCATTGGCAACGAGGTGATCACCTTTCACAACACTGCTAAAGATAGAGTTATAAAACCTAAATTATGAGATATTATGTGAAGAACTTGAGGAAAATCCTGGAAGGAGATAGAAGGAAAGGGAGCGGCGATAGAAATTTATATATACAAGGTATTTCATTTTCTTCAATTCCACATTGATTTTTGTTTTGATTACACAAATCAATGGATTTTTCCAGAATTTCTCCTTGAATATGGTCAAAGTACCCAAAATTGCTTGACCAGACTGGGTACGGATCCCACACGACTCGACACGGGTGTGGTATCGAAAGTGAAGAGTCCAAGCAACTCCCAAGATTAACATCTTGATGACATTGAAAAACATCTGGATGTCAATCGAAACCTTGATGACGACACTGAAGTGCACATCAAGCGACGCGAGACGCTCAACAAGTTTTGAGCTTCACTTAAGGACTTGAGTGCGTTTTTTTATACACTGATCCCTGCTGACTCCAATTGGTGGTATGAAATAAGAGGTGTGACATTTAAAAGGAAAAAGCATGCCTTACTATAAAAAAAAAATCCCATTCTTATAAGCCTCGAAAATCATATTTTTTCTTTTGATGGAAAATATTTTCTTTTGAGAGAACATTTTCAAACAATTCAAAATAATCAAACATGGGAAAAACGATTTCATCAAGGAACCTATAAAAAATGACTTCATAGAGGAAACCATTTTCTCTAAAAAAAAAAAAAAAAAAAGTTTGCGATGTCAAACACTCCCTATATGGGTATTCTCAAAATGGAAAAGGGCCAAAAATACCCCTACCGTATAAGAATGGTTCACAAAATACCCTCCATCCACCTGTTGGTCTGAAAATAGCCCTAACCTATTTTTTGGCTCTAGATTACCCCTCAAATTAACACCCTAAATCTTATGGCTTTTTGCAATTTAAGATTTCCACATGGCCTATTATAATTCGCCACATATATTATTTATAATTTAAAAACTGAACCCATGCATTTCATAAATCCAAACCACCCCTAATAATCTAATTCGTTTCTTTAAATCTTTAAACCCACGGCTCATTCTCATTTTAGAAACCGGATAAGATAATCTTATGACTTTTTGGCTTCTCTTCTCGTATGGGAAATGGTTCACAAATACCCTTCATCCACATATTGGTCTAAAAGTACCCCTAAAAGTTTTTTGGATAAGAAAACAAAGAGAAGGCACAGAGAGTTGAAGGCACCGGGAAATAGCTATTAAATGATGACTTTGGTTTACTAGAGATTACTTGAACCTCCACGCTCTTTAGTATAACATTTGAGTCTCACATGTCTACCATTTTACCACCAGGGAATCTTGAAAGTGAATTGTATTCCATTAATTTATTTTTGTATTATCACGAGTTCAAACTTGAAAGAACTTTCAATTTTTAAGTGAAACTACTTGAGTTAACTTTTAGCAAGTTGTCTATAACTAGTGTAAATAGTCAATTATCTATTACTGAAAAAGGATGGTGTAATGGAACTTGAAGGGTAAGTCACTTATTTTATTGCAATATAAGCATTATTGACGTAATAATAATTTGGTGCACCGAAGGAAAATACCTTCTTATATTTTTTTCCTATTCAATAAACATTATATAATTGAAGTCTAGTAAACTGTCATCCTGGTTAAACAGTTCACGTATTAATATCCATCCAAAGGCCTCTATGTTTTCCTTTTCCATGTCCTTCCGTATCCTTGGAAAACATTACAGTACTAGGAAATACATCTATTTAACTTAAATATGCTGCAAAATGCTCTGTTATTAATTGCAAATAACAGAAACTGAAGAATTTGCATCTTTTATTCTTGGCAATATCGTCAATTTTCTCAAGAAAGGGTTATTCTTGTGAACTTACACTGCCTGTAGACATCCAGAAAGGACATGCATTTAACATCCAATTGTATATGCAGCAAGTCAGGTACATCCCAAAAATTGGTACCCTATCCCCCTCATATTTTGTCGTCCATGGGGCAAGCTGCCAGAAAATGTACCTTGTCATCCTAAGCTAGCAGACTTTGCCAACTGTATGAAGAAAAAAGGCAGGGGAATGTCCATCTTTATTTCTATTATAGATGGAGATTACCATGAACGTGTTGAGGACGCCAAGGCAGCTTGTAAGCAGCTAAGTACGTATATTGACTACAAGCAATGTGAAGGTGTAGCAGAAATAGTTGTTGCTCCCAACATGTCAGAAGGCTTTAGAGGCATTGTTCAGACTATGGGGCTTGGGAATCTCAAGCCAAACATTATTGTTATGCGGTACCCTGAGATATGGCGGCGTGAAAATTTGATTGAAATTCCTGCTACCTTTGTTGGAATAATAAATGACTGCATTGTTGCAAACAAGGCAGTAGTTATTGTGAAGGGTCTAGATGAATGGCCTAATGAGTATCAAAGACAGTATGGAACCATTGATTTGTACTGGATAGTCAGAGATGGTGGTCTTATGCTGTTGCTATCTCAACTGCTTCTCACAAAAGATAGCTTTGAGGGCTGTAAGATCCAGGTTTTCTGCATTGCTGAGGAAGATTCTGATGCAGAAGGACTCAAGGCTGATGTAAAGAAATTTCTTTATGACCTTCGGATGCAAGCTGAGGTAATTGTCATTTCCATGAAGTCATGGGAAGGCCCAGGGGAGCAGCAAGAATCTATTGAAGCATTCAGTGCTGCTCAGGGAAGAATAGCTAGTTATCTGGGAGAGATGAAAGAGAGAGCGGAGAGGGATAAGACTCCTTTGATGGCTGATGGAAAGCCAGTGGTTGTCAATGAGCAGCAAGTTGAGAAATTCCTGTATACCACTTTGAAGCTGAATTCAACGATTCTAAAATACTCGAGAATGGCTGCAGTTGTGTTTGTAAGTCTTCCTCCTCCTCCTGCCAATCATCCAGCATTTTTCTACATGGAATACATGGACCTATTGGTTGAAAATGTACCCAGGCTCTTGATAGTTCGTGGATATCGTCGAGATGTTGTCACTCTGTTTACCTAGGTAGTTCTGTTCATACGCTTCCTTTTTCTCTTCTTTTACCTCCTTTGCTTTATCTTAATAGTTTCAATTCAATTCAATTTGTTACTTTTGTTGTTTTTCTCTTTTCTACTGGAGGTGGGTGTACAATATACTAGTTTTTGTATCATTAATTCTTTTGAACTGAATATTTGGGGAAAG